CGAGTGCTGGAGCCCTACCCTTCGCCCTGATTTTTCCCTTATGAATCCTGCAATCAACCAACTCTTCCCTGCTCCCTTGACTGTTGCACGTTGGTCTTTGCTTTGATTGATCAAGAAATTAAACGCAGCTAATCTCTTTGCCATGAACTGGTTTTGGGTTTGTTTTTTTTTTTTTATTTCAGGGCAGCGGTAATGGTCTTCAGACTTTTAGGTACTTATCTGTCAGGCAGGAGAAGTTGTGAAATAAACCACAATAAAGAGCAAAGCGTTACACCCATCACACACCAGCCCCAGCCCTCACGAGAGTACGTCACTCCATACCAAACCATCAGAAGAGAAACCAAGCTGCTATAAAATACTGCCACTTTCCTAATTTTGGTGTCTTATAGAGTGTAAATGGATTTTTCTTTGTAACAGCACCAAGTCTGGGAGGAACCAGTCCTTTTAGGAGCCCTGGCATGGGGGGATGGCCCTGAGGAAGTGTGAAAGAGAAAAGTGGCCATGGTCAGCCCTACCTGGTCACACCTGGGCAAGGGGCAGGTCTGGCCGTGCATTATAAAAAGGAGGCTTATGGCAAAGGGAGGAGGCTATCTCATAGGGAAGAAAATTAGGAACTGCTGCTTCCTTGAAGGGTGTGTCCATCGAGACTGTGTTGATCAGCAGAAAATTGCAGCAAGCTAGGCAAGGCTTTAATGAGCCTAATGAGAAACCGAGGGGAAATTAGACTGGGCTCAGGCTTTCAACTTCTTGGAGAAGAGATGTGAAAAGTTGTACATGGGGTATTTGAGGCAGAGATAGGACAGGGGACCCTTCGGGAAAAGCTCTTGGATTTTTCTAACCCTAGGAAAGAAGGGCCAGAAGATGCACTGGAAGCTCCAAGATGCTTTCTCTCTTGGAAAAAAAGGTATGGAGATAACATCTTTGTGGGAGCCTAAAGAGTGCACTGGAGGACAAATGATATATATGAACGTTCATGATGATGTGCCATCTTTTTGGGTGAGTCAAAGAGTTAATTTGCAAACAGCGCAGGCAAAAATTCCCTAGTGCCATAGCTCACACACTCCCTTCCTCTTCCTCTCTCCACCCCCCATTCTTTTGTTATGTAGCAGGAGTGTCTGCTGTTAAGGCTGATATTTAGGAAAAAATCTGTGACTTCCAAGCCTTTTCTTTGGGTCTTGTTTCCAGAACTAGATAATGTCTTGACCAGGAATTTTGTAGATGCTTCCCACCAGAAGATAAGAGGCTTGCCCTTCCCCTAGTACTATCACAGAGCAGTGCTCTGTCCTAGGAAGAGGGATGGAACTTTGTATTTTCAGTGTTTTTTTTTTCTGTTAGTACAGGCAATATAAATCACATCATGCCTTTGTGCCTGCTCTTAAGAAAAGGCAAACTGGAGAGTCATGAGAGTCCTCGTTGTTTACCTGCTTGTGTGAAAAAGAATTAAGGAACAGTCTAAGTAGCTAGTGGATGGGGACGGAGAGCTGTCAGCGCAGGACAGAGCTCTGCTGTGATTTCTTGTTGGTCAAGAGATTTATAGAGTGGCCACAGACTAGTGGAGTTTTGGCCATAGAGGGAAATTTTCTTCAACAGTGAACCTCCTTGGTGGTAGTGGTGGTTTCTGCCTGAGGAAGCCAGGTACTTGCTTAGGATCTCAGAAGGCTTTGGAAAAGCCTGAAGAAAAGTTCCTCACCTGCAGAAAAGGAAAGAGAAGGCAAATAGCAAGTACCAGGTATATGGCTGTATTCTAGGTGCCTCATGAGCCTCTAAACAAGAGCTCTTTAAAAGATGGAAAGGTATCTATCACATAGAACTAAAGACTGGCCCAGCAGATGTAAGTACTTGGCTTGACACCAGCAAGACTCTGCCCAACTACACCCCTTAGACTGCAAAGCAAGGTCCAGGTGCCCTTCTTCTACCCCTGATTTTCAGAGAAGTCAGAAGGACAGAGGAATTCCCTCACCTAGGCCAGCAAGTGGCCTGTTTCAGATGCTATAAAGAAGTGGAAAGGGGTAATAACGATAATCACATGGTTGTTAATTCAGTCTCTTCCTCTCCTCAGCCCAGAAGGGATCGGCCCCTGCGGTACGTTTGCTAAGGCTTTTGCCGGGCAGTTATGCTGCAGCAACCGAAATGTTTGGGCAGAGGACTGAGGCATGAGGCTGTGGTCGTGAGCAGTGACGTATGAAACTAGAAAAGGCAAACAAGTAGTGCTGCAAGTGGCAGAATGAAGCGTGACTTTGAACGGCGCTGCGGCTGACTGACGAGATAACTAAATTATATGAGAAGCTGCATCGTGAGCTCACCCTTAATAGACAGCTGAGAATTCACCTGTCAGTCATGGTGTCTCTGCTGCGTGGATTTTAAGATGTCTGGCAAGCTGCAAACTCTAATGCTTTCCTAGATGTAGGGTGTTTATAACAGTGCTCTCCTGCAGAAACTCTCCCCCTTGCTGGCTGAGGATGTGAGTAGCATCTTTCCTCTCTTGCTAGAAAAGTGTGTAAAAGAATGTATTTATTATTTTAAATTTTTTTCACTCCTATGTCAAATTTCGTTGGAACTAGTTGCAGATTCAAAGTTTACTGGGGGAACCAATAAACAGATGTATCTATGCACATTGCTCTCCTAAGGCTTGTCTCTTTAGGAAAGCTTACTAAAATGTTAAGCTTATTCTCATCTGAACAGATATTTTGTAAATGGTGCAGCTGAACACAAATCCTTGCACAGGCTCAGCTGGAAATAGAGCTCAAGTCTCCCAGTTCCCCATCAAATTTCCTTCATTGCCACTTGCTGTGGGAGCGGAGCCCTCACATATGTTTGTGAATGTGAAAAACTGAAAAACATTGACAGCTAGAGTTTAAAAAGTTCAGGGGGAAGAGGCAGCAGTCCTATCTGGGACTGTGCACAAGCTATGAGAGCACGTCACATCAGAGTGCTTCTCCACCCCAACCCAACAAATTTAGAAGCATCCTCAAAAATAGCCAGGGAACAACGTATAATTGGTTTCACAGACAACACATTCTCATGCTGTGATTTATTTCGTAACGTCTAGTGAGTGTCATCATGCCGCGCTCAAAGCCTTGGAGCTGGCATTCAGCGAGGGCCCAGAGAATGAAAATTACCAGCTTCCCCGATGAATCACCGCTTTGAAAATTCACCCTTGTGAGAATCCTGTGACTATTTCAAAAAAAAAAAAAAAAAAAAATATTACAAGCCTGAGTCTATCACTCATATAATTAGCCCTTTCTAGGTTTGATGTGGACAGGGCAGCATTCCTAAAGCACCATAAATATGGCCAGGACCAATAAAGGCTTTAGAAACGAAGTGGAGAAGTTCTCACAATTAAGGTGGGGAATGAGGACAACTGCATACATGCACAGCACATAAATACACAGGCAGGCAGGCAGGTCTGTGTGCACGCTGTGGGCTCCAGTGCTGAGACGACACCTCCCGCACGGGTTGCTGGGCTTGGACTAGAGCTACCTGCAGCATGAGGGCCACAGGTGCCTTAGTGCTTCTCAGCCTGCTGCTGCTCTCTTTCTTCTCGGGTAAGTGATTTTTTCCCTAGCCTAGAAAAAAAAAAAACCCAAACTGAACAAAAAACCCCAAAACCTTGCCTGACAACAACAAACTTCGGAGAGCCTTGATCGCTGGCTGGCAGGCTTGAAGATAAAGCTGAGCAAGTAGGAAATATCTGCGGGACTTGCTCACTTGGGTGACATATTTCCACTCCTCGTGTGCCTCCGCAGTGAATAACGCAGCGGAGGTGTCACCGGGAGACAGAGCAAGCAAATTCTAAGCAGCTCTTTCAGCAAATGTACCAAAGTGTATGGAGTGTAATTATGAATTTTTTGGTACAAATGTTCGCTGGAGACTTTTGCTGAACCAGTTAGAGAAGAAACTCACTCACCTCAGGGTCATCAGCTCTTGTTTTGATCCTAAGCATCTTGGTATTTGGTGTTTTCCTTGGAGATGTGGAAATGTAATTAGATGAAAGTTTCAGCTTTCGTTTATGTTGCAGAGAAAAGCTTAAAAATTAAATTTAAATGTCCTCAAGGAGTCAAAACAAAGAGGGCAAATTAAAAGGATCCAGCATTTATTTATCTGGAGATTTACACATCTCTCTGACAATCTGGGGAAGCTGAGTGATGATTTTTGAACATATAGGTCACATCAGAGTTATCAATTGCTTGTGTCCGGCTGAGCCAGCTCTGGAAGTTTTGTGGTGACAGTTATTGAAGAATGCAGAACAAGAATTATTTATACTTGTTTTTCTGTGAATAATTTGAATAAAGAATTCACTGGAGAAAATTGCAAGCTGTGTATGGAGAAAAGAGGTGAATTACTTTGTACACATTATTCATTATGAAATATTCATCTGCCTCTAATTGAGTCTTAATTGGGACTGGGTTCTGTCAGAGTGCTGAAGCTTCCTTCCAAGGCCAGGCAGAGTAGCAGCAAACTCTGTGATCTCCTATAAAATAAACAAATGTCAAGAGACTTCATCACAAAGTCTTGTGTAGCTGCATGTAATATTTATAAAAAACTGTCTAATGAGCTATTTTGTAAATAATATGCACATAGCCATAACGGTGACTTTACAATTAAGGCAACCTAGCCTAACCTGAGGACATGATAAATACACCAGTGCCAGGGATAAAGTGCCAAAGGGCAATACAACTGCCAGGAGAAGTAGGGTGGGTTGATGGATGATGGTCTAGCTGGCTGAGGGTTGGGTGGGATTTCCAATGTGTGGGGGCTCAAGCGCAGGGCAAGGGCCTCCCATCTCCTGCTCAGAGCCACCTGAGCAGCCCCACCGACCCAGCAGGTACAGCCCTGCAGCTGAACCTCTGCTGCCCCGCTGCCGTGCCACATGCTGGGTGTTTGTCCCACAGTGCTGTGACCCAGATTCTGCAAATCTGTGTTAAATCCACCCTTGAGTGTCAGGCTCCCCCTTAGAGACATTGCAGGGCTGCCCCATCCCGCAACTATGACTTGACCTGTGTGTCTGACTGCAGCCTTTGCAGTGAAGAAATATAAAGAGGATGGACCTTCAAGCCTAGCGCCTGTGGTTACAGCGGGTTTTTTTGTGCTCTTAGTGACTGGCACTGCCTGTTCTGCTCTGTATCACCCCATGACGTCTCTTTGTATCTTGCCCGGAATGAAGTTGTTCTGGGAGAGTCTCTGGGCTGTGCCGTGCCGAGGATGGCTGTGAAGCTGACCACGGGGTCTCCTCCTTCTCCATGGCACGCTCTTGTTAGCAGTACTGGCCATTTGCCCTGCTCAGAGGTGCAGGAGCCTAAATGCCTTAAAAGCCAAGATAGCTTTAAAATCTCCGTGGAGCGCGGCTCCAGACCCGATTCGGCAGCTCGCTTCCCCAGGAGTGGCTGCCTTCCAGGAGACTGGGTTATGTGTCTGAGGTGCAGTTAGCAGCTGAATGACTGATTGCATGGTATTTTAGTAACATTCTTCAAAAAAGCAAAATACTGAAAAGCAATTCAGATAATGTATTTCCTGCCCCCTCCTCCACCGCACAGGATGACAGAGTAGGAAAAACCTGGTGCCTGTTTCACCGTGGTTTGCATAGAGGGTTTGTGACTTTAGTTCAGCCTCTATCAGAAAATAATGCTGATGTGTAAAATCTCTGTTTGTTTTTCTGTTGGTTTTTTTTTATTCCAGATGTAGCAGGTCAAGACATTGAAGAGGTTAGTGCAGCTGTTTCTGCTTACTGAATCTGCATTTTCTAGAGGAATGGTTTTGTAACCAAGACCTTGGTGCATGGTAAACAGTTATTAATGTCTGCTGGGAGCAGGTGGGTCCATCCAAGGTGTCCCAACACTTTGGGGAGTTCTCTGTTGTACAGGGGATCTAATGTGTGGCCACTTAGCAAGTAGACCAAGGAAATGGACTGTTGGCTTAGCAAATGCTTATCATGCTTAGGTCTAACCCTTGCACCGGGTTGTGTTTGTATGCAGCACCACTTGTGCTCACTTTGCTCCACTGTCCAATCTTCTCATGAAACTAACGGACTGTTGAGAGTGTTTTATTCCCCCAACCAAGGTCCATCACTGGGACTTGTCCAGAGACAAAATACCTGTACATTTCCTGGACACCATTTTTAACTCCCTATAGACTATGGTTTTCTCCTCCTTCCGCTGGGAAGGCAGAAAGCTCAGCAAGCACCAAGCTGAGTGCACGGTTTCGCAAGATGCATGAAGCCATGTGGCAGTGAGCTAACTTGGTGCCAAATGCCTGAGAGAGCATCAGTGCTGACCCTTCTCTTACATGCCTAGGCTAATCTACCCGTGTCTTTGGGAGTTCAAGCCTTCTCCCAGGTGACTACAGTTTCCCTCCTCAAACATGGGGCAAAAATTCCCCTGAAACACTGCTTCTGCTCATTTCTGACAGGGCTTTTTCCTTCAGTAAATGGGCAGTGTCATCACTGCCGCTTTAGTCCTCTTGTTGGAAAAAGCATTATATTAGTGACCTTGTATCCAATTGGGAAAGTGAAAGAAAGAGTATGGGAGTCCTGAAAAGGTTTTTTTTTTTTATTCCTTTTGCAGATTTGTAGGGAGTTTGTAAACAGAAGTGTGTACTGCACGAGGGAGTCCAACCCTCACTGTGGCACGGATGGCATCACGTACGGAAACAAGTGTGCCTTCTGCAAGGCAGTGCTGTAAGTGAAAGTAGAGGGGACCAAAAGAACAGAGAAGGTTGGCTCCGTTTCCACATATGTAACGATGTTCTTCATGGAGGGGAGGCCCTGCATCCCGGCTGCTCCTCTTTTATGGACCAGCCGCTGAATCGTGGAATATTTCCTCCTTGGAACAGAGCTGTGTGAATGCATGTTAATTTTAATCCATTTCTAGGCTTTGCACGCTGCTGGTTACCAGGCTGAGAGGCAGCACGGGGCCTGGGAGGCAATTGCATCCTGCCTGTACCTTCTGCACGCTCTAAATTGATGCACATTTCCCACTATGTGCCACAGGCTGCAACTCTCACTGCCCACACTTCTGGATACTGAGAAGTGTCTGGAGGAATGCGGGAGCTGAGCCATGCCAAATTATTCCTGAAAAGTCTGAATGGACTTTGTGGAACAAGACACAAAATCTCAGAGGGAGAACCTGAGTTTCTCCTTTTCCTGAGCTCTGTCACCTTTTAAAGGAGATGCAATAGGAGCCAGCACCCCTGGACTGAATGTACTTGCAAACCATCAGTTTTTCCTTCACAGTCCTTAAGATTTGGTGCACACTCAAGGCTGCCGTACCCTAGGGGAAATGAGAGAAGAGCAAGGAGAGGAGAAAATGGCTTGATGTTCCCTATGAGGCACCAGGGTACACACGAGTCAGGCAAATGGTCCTGTTCAGACGGATGAGGTCCTTGTCCCACGCTGCTTTGTCTAAGTTTGTCTTGCTACTTTTACAGGAGAAGTGGAGGGAAAATAAGATTGAAGCACCTGGGGAAATGCTGAGTCCCCACTGTCACCGAGCAGCGACAGATGAGCCCCCATCAGCAATGGCCACAGACGCCTGTGCACAGGCACGGGAGCAGCTTGCCCGCATCTCCATCGTCTCTGCTCAATAAAATAAAACTCAGCACGATTCTTTGGCTGGATTCCTTTTTCCGTAATACCCAGAAAAGCGCTTTGATATAGACGTGCTAGAGCCTAATGCGTGGCTTCGCTATACTGTGCTGTTACATCATCCTCCCCCTGGGAAGCAAGGTGCTCCCTGTGCCGGAGCGGCGATTCCCACGGCTCAAGCGGGCTGTGTCCTCCCATCCCCAGCAGCCATAGCTCTTCTCTCCCCATCCTGCCTGACAAATTGGCACACGCCTGCCGGGCAGCCAAGCAGTGCAACCGCTCGTGGGCTCCTGCCCAATTCTCCCCATCCCAGGGGGTGGGTGACAGCGGGTGCCTTTATTCTTTCCCCAGCCTCCATCGACATGTTCCTTCCTCTCTTGGAGGTTATTGTGGGAGGGTGACAGGAGAGCTGGTGAACAGCGTGACTGCATATGCCTCATCTCCTTTGGAAACCAGAGACAAACAAGCTGAGGCTAGGGAATGTTGCTCCATTTAAGCCTTCAACAAGAAGATGGCAGGTGGAGGCTGGTTTTAGGCAGAAGCTGCAAGGCTCTTCTTTCCAAATCAGTCTCTTTCTTCTTCGTTCTAAGAGAACGCTTTGTCTTGAAAACTGTGAACTCACCAGCATTAGTTTCCTGCTGCCAAGTGGCTTCTCATGTTAATAAAATTATATTTAGAAGAGCACCAGATTGTCTAAAGTGTCAATAATTATAAAAAAAATATTCCCTGGAGGAGAAGAGCTGTGAGCTTCCTCTCCCCACCTCTAGGGATAAACTCTCCCTGAATCATACACAGACCTTGATTTTATAGGCACAGGATTTGTATTTATTTACAGTTTTTAATGCACGTACACATTTTTCCTTACTTTACGTTTCACACTGATGCTCTCTCTCTTCTTGATGCTGGATGGAAAATCCTTCTTTCTGCAAACATGAGAAAATGAATTCTATAGTCTCTCCCCATTCACCCAGGGACAATTCACCCAGGGAAATACTTGTGGCATCCCCTTGTTAAAACATTGGCAGCAGATCAGTGGGACACCAGCTCCTTCATGTTAAACACTTAACTTTCAAAGGGAGCTTTAGATTTTATCATGAGCCTCAGGGGTCAACATATTTTGCAAGCACCTAAACGCTGAGCATCTAAACCTCTGGACTTTGTTTGGACAGGGCTTGAGTGTTTGCCTATCATGCCACAATCCACGCTTTGAACTCAATTGGGGCGCAATGCCTAAACAGAGAGGACTTAGCAATGCTCTCAGCACACCTAAAGCTGGCTTGCCTTCTGATAATTCACATTTGCCATGCCAGTTCTGGCAAATCCTTCATCATTTGGTAACTTTACAGGCAGCGTGCAGGCGGCAGCCAGCCAGCAGTTGAGCCGCGCGGGCAAAACCCTGCGTTGGCTGGTTTGGAGCTTCTCTCGGACCAGCTGTCTTTGATCCTGATATTTTTCCCATACCAATTTACTGGATTCTTGCAAAATCTGCCACCTCTTCTTGGAAGTAGACTAATGCTCTCTGTGTCCCAGGTTGTACAGGCTGGGAAAATGCACTTGTTTGGTTTGAAATTCAGATGTTACATTAATAATCTCTACAGCAAGACATTCAGAATATGGATAAGATTGAGGGGAGCAAGAAGCACCTCCTGCACAAAGACAAGTGGTCATGAAGGACATGTTGGGAAAGA